TGGGACTGATGTACGATGCGCTCACAGAGCTCAGCGACCTCTCTCGGCAACTCCAAAAAAGAGAGATGACACTGCCTACAGCAGATAGGCTCTTAACTCGAGAAATACGAGTTTTTGAATCCATGGTCACCATGCCTGGCCCACACATGACTACAGTTCATACAGCTCTAGCTGAGAAGTCCTTCAAGGGTGTTGCCCTGCGTGAGAATAGCAGGCTTGTACAGATTCATGCAGGTCAGTTTTTCCGCAGTATGGTAGAGAATCTGAGACACAGAATGACTTCCACAACCTCCTCTCATGTCAGCACAAGAGAAATCCCATTACATGGCCGGGAGGCCCGGGACAATCAGCTAATCCAGGACATGAAAGTTATCCATCCTGGAAGTTGGCCTGAAGAGGATTTAGACGTACAGTATGGGGACGTAGAGGTGCTACGTTTGTGCGAAGTGCTGAAAGTGGACAGAAGAGAGACTGTTCAGGGCTTTCGCAAATACAAGGAAACCAGGGCATCCCGTACACCTGCTGCCATGGAGCCTCTACTGAAAGCAGTCCGAACCATCGCTGTCTCCACTAGTGAGTGTGAGCGGGCATTCAGCTGCATGAACGATATCCTTACTGCAAAAAGGAATGCTCTCTCTGTCAGCCGACTGTCCAGCCTGGTTTTCATTAAATGTAATGGACCATCACTAGGACAGTTCAATCCGGAACAGTATGTGAGGTCCTGGCTGGCAAAGGGAAGGAGAAGTGCTGATGAAAGAGCCTGTCCAGCTCCAGCCCCTGATACTGATGTCCCCAAGGCCTTCTGGAGCCTTTTCTAACAATGTGAAGTATATTGCAAAGCAGCTCACCCAGTGAGAAGACTTTTGGCATAATGTGCCGATTTGTACAGATCCTGGAGATAGAAGGACTTCAGACCAACCAGGGAGTTATCTGATCAGCTTGGTGTTCAATGTAACTCTTTACCATGGCTCAGACTTTGTTACTTGCAGTTACAGTTTCTCATTTTAGATTGTGCAAATTTTGCATTTGTTTTTACATGTTCTTTGTTCATGCTCTTTATCATTTTTCTGAGTTGGAAAGTTAGATTGCATCATAGTTTACTTTATACATATTTGTATTCTTCAGTGGTGAAGTATATTGCAAAGCAGCTCAGCCATGTGAGAAGACTTTTGGCACTTTTTCGTTTTTCGTTTTCTGAGTTGGAAAGTTAGATTGCATTCAAAATGTACAGAAATACTTAATTTTGTTAAAGCTTTTTATAAAAAATGCTTCTGACCAGAGCTTTGTTTCCTTGTCATTAATGTTGAACACCACCAGAGGGGCTCTCACCTGAAAGGTCTCTGCTTCATGTGTCTTCAGCAGAAGATCTAGACTTTGATTGCTATATTTTCAGTTAATATTGACCTTACTGAGCTTTAGCCATATCCGCTGCCTATCATAAAAAATGTTAAGTACAGTGAACCTTTCTAAAATATACAGTAGTAAAGAGACAAACCCACCAGCATTATAGTAGCCAAATTCTTGTTTGTGGGCTGTATATATAAAATTGACTTGAAAAAGTTGCTGATTTTAGAGTACTGGCACCTTTTTCATTCCAATTCAAGCACTGTGCAAAAGTATTACATTCCTGTTGAAAAATGCACATTTGCAACATTTACAAATGCAAAGTCATTCCAATCATGTACATGTACGGATTCTTCCAAATTTGTGTTTCCAGATGGCGGTCATAGCGTAGCTGTCAATAACAACTGCTTGACCGTCATTGCGCTGATCACCTTTGAGAAAAATGATCACAATGTATTAAAAAGAGGCATGTTTACTGTAATACTATCAACTACATTGTTGTAACATCACTGCATTAATAAATGGAGCAAGTTTCATGAATGTCACACTTTTATTTTGTAAGATAGCAAGTGGGGGCATATTGTGATGGACAGGCCTGTCATAACATGCCCCCCCCCCCCCCCCAAAAGAGGTTTCTATGAATCCCACCCTCAAGCATTTTTCAGGGTATGGTTCTGGTACCAATAACTGGAGCAAGTTTCATGAATGTCACACTTTTATTTTGTACGCATAGCGTATATAATAATATGCTGACAAAGACTATGTAACATTTGTAAACATATATTTTGATTATTAGATGACAACTATGTAAAATTAAACAATACATGGACAGGACGTAACAATAATGATAAAAAAATGATTTAAAAAAACAAAAACTGAAAAGGAAGTGACGAATGAATTTCGACACCTCAAATACGGAGCGAAAAGTTAAACCAGAAGAATCAAGACTATGAGCAACCACTAAACAACTCACAGTCTGAAAATTAATAAAAACCCTGAACGTTTACTTTTCGTTTTAAACATCGTTTTAAGGTGTAAACCTATGGTGTAAACGTGTAATTTAGAAGTGTAAACGTGTCATTTAGAAATGCGCGTTCCCGTGACAAGAGGGGCATTTCATGACGGGGAGGCATAATGTGACACAACACCGGTGCTCTGGCGGTCGGTTTCTCCGAACTGCGGGTGATGGCCGGGAGGGTGTGCTGCGTTGGGGTGGGGGACTTCCCCCACTCTGCGTGTCTCTTCCTTCCCGGGCCGGCCGATATGAGGGGTGGAGGTTCCCAGCTGGAACCTCCCCACCTCCGCCGCGGTGCACCCGGCAAAAACGGTTGTTTCTCGAACCTTCCACTGTCTAGCGCAGGGGTGGGGACAGACCCGGTGGCAGACATACGTCTCTGGGCGGGCATTTGATTTACCAGGGCGGGCCCACCACGAAACTTACATTTCCCGGGAAATCTCGAGAAATGAAAAAAATAATCTTTCAATATAGTTTAAAACAAAAATAAATATTAGGACAAAGCCCTACAAATAACAACAATAAACATAATCAGTGGCGGCTCCAGAGTATTTTTGTTGGTTAATCTATGGTAGGGCTAACCCATACAGTGGTGGGGCTCAAGTCAGTATTTGCAATGTAATTACATACACGCTCCCCTTGACAGTGAAACGCCACGCGTGAGGTTTAGATTATTTCCCTGTCTCAACTCTCAATCCAAATTGAACTGTTTGAAATAAAAAGGCACATTTGTGTTGTAGTAAATAAAAAGGGCGACCTGGAGCCAATCCTGCAATTTCCCCACAGGTGAAAGAGTTGACATGCTGTATTTTTGAAATACTAACATAAAATACACATTCTGGTACTCTCTTGAGAAGAAAAATAAACAAATCTATTACTACACGACATATTTAAAAAAAATGAATGCCATTTTAGTTTTGTGTTACTTTGTTCTGAAAGCTGAACCTGCTGCTCCTCACAGAGAGAAGAGGCTGTGTGAATTACTTTACATTGTGGATAAGGGTGGATAGCCCCCATTGTTCTGTGTGTCCAAATGAAAGACAGCCCACACACCTATCAATCATCAAAGCGTGGGGTCTCATTTCATTATGTGTTGATTCTATCAACACGTAATGTTGTATCGATGTAGGCTAGAGATGTACTACAGCAAAAGTATTCTCCGTCGGGACTTCCTGCAACAACACCACGTCGTTATCGTGATTCTGATTGGCCAGAAGACATTATCAAAGATGTTCTATTGAGAAGATGATCACTACGTGACAAAAGTTTTCCAACCGTTTCTAGTCTTCGGTATTTACTGCTGTCTGTGCAATTTACTCCGCGCGAGTTGGCGGACTTTATTTTGATTACTTTAAAATCATTTTTCATGGTGGGGCTAAGCCATTTCTTGGTATGGCTGTAGCCTACCCCAGTATACCCTGGCGCCGCCACTGAACATAATAATAAAACAATTAAAATGTTGTATTCAGCCCTGATTAAAACAGCGGGCCCAAATCCTGGGCCCGCCCCATGGGGCCCGCCCATGACGCCGGGTCTGGGTGGGGAACCTTTTTCCTCTCAAGGGCCATTTCAATTTTTACAACATCCTTCGAGGGCCGTACAAATTATTGAACTCAACGTCTGCTTAAAAAACTAAAATCACAGCCCATTGATTTCGCCTTTCTTTCATGCTGTGCAAAGAAAAAGCAACCTCTTAATCCAGATATTTGAGCATGACCCGCGCATGCATGCACCGTGGCATGACCACCAAAACAGAAATATATGGACACAAGATGTGTGCAAATGTATTTAGTTTCATATCCATGTGGACATGATTTAAGTGGGGGGGGGATCTAACCTCATCTAGGGGGGTTTGGGGGCATGCACCACCAGGAAGATTTTTTTTAAATGTTGAAGTTAAAAGCATCAATCTGGTGCACTTTGAGAGTAAAATTAATAGATCTATGGATACATCTCTCAACACCCAGATGAAACAGAACTGTAAGCAGATTTTTTTTCTTTATGGATATTTTACAAATCACTCCCCTTTTAAACTGTATTCTTGTTTAATAATAACTTTTTTTTACTGTCATAGTATTTTATACCTGTTTACTTTATTCTCTTATTGTTTTATAACTATAATGATCATATAAAGATGTGCCTTTACCTCACTGGTTGGAGAAAAAGCTTCTTATATTCGTTAGCATAGCTAGCTAACCAGATGCTAATAACAACAAAGTTATTGACTGTATGATCAGTGTGACAGATGAGCAGATCGCCACCGGGCTTTCAACTAAAGACACAGCCACGTAAAACTGCGGCATGTGTACAGCTCCTTATGGGTATTGTAATTTGTGAAGTCCCGGCCCGGAGCCGCGTTCTGGTGCTCTCTGTCAGAACTGCACCTGTCAGACGAGACATATACCACGTGATGACACGTTAGGCTCGTGTTGTGTTCAAGGACCCTGACCTTGGCCAGGAAAAACAGGTACTCGCTTGTTTAATTATTCTGCGGTCTAGATTTCTTTTCTTTTTTGCGTGTGTTTATAAATTACCTCGAGGGCCGTACCAAATGGTCTCGCGGGCCGCATACGGCCCGGAGGCCGGAGGTTCCCCACCCCTGATCTAAACAATACCCTACATCGTACCTGCGTAATGTAGGCCTATGGTTCCTGCCTAATGCATGTTGTATTTCCATGTGAATAATAAAAGGTAATGTACCCCCATGAGAAGAAAACCCTCTTCTTGGATCCTTGGAGAAGGGAAAGGCAAAATGAGGGTGTGCCTATCTACAAGGTACATTTGATACAGTGTACTAGTTCCGGTGTTGTATGAGTTTTTTAACAATGATGTGCTGTATCTTGACACATGTACTATCTACATACTGTAGAGCCTTTATGAGGATGAAAGGCTGCAAGGTGTCAAGGTGGACATGCAGCACCCTCCCCCATAATCAACAAGACAGCACATCCTGTGGTGTCCTGGCCTTAAAAGTGAGTGTGAAATGCATTTAGCCAAACATTACTCTCAAACTCAAATTCAGTAGCAATTAGACTGAATATCTTGACTTGCTTTTATACATCTTGATCAAAGATGTATTGAATTGTGTCAAACACATATACAACATGTCATTCTTTAAATCTGTTGGGTCATTTGTCTGTATTCCATTTGAGGGTAAAATCATAGACCATGCAGTCCATATACTAATCAAGGTTCTCTTCAGTTTGCAGAGAAGATTTTACTGGGGGAGGCAATTGAGTTTGAAACATCACAGAAGACATCACATCACAAAACATTACATTGCTACTTCTCTCCTCAGAGAATCTGGTTTGTTACCTTTTCTCAACATTGTCAATGACTTCATGTAGTTACTTTTATTAATTGTATCTCATAAGTATGCATCAATAACCTAGTATATTAATAATGTGCCATGCAAATTGTTGTATTGTATCACTGCTTGGACCATTGGTACTGTTGACCAGGGACATTATCAGGGTTTTAAAAGCAACACAGTGGCTTAAGTATAGATTAGGGTAAATAGTCACTACATACAGTATATTGTGTATCTCAACTCCAAACAGATAACATATGAAGCATCGCAGGCAGGCATCTTCAACTGCAATTTCATATAGACTACACACGTCACACTCTAACACACCCTTTCAATTCTGTGGTTTATTTAAGATGTGAGATTTCCCCATCTTCCTCCTTTCAATGTGCTCATTGGTGTGTATTACTTTTAACTGATATCCTCAGTTAATTTTTACCTTGAACTTATTATAATCAAAGCTGTAAAGCTAATACATGTGATGAACAACAAAAGAACCATGAGAACCAAACTTAAATTGATGCGTACAGTGCGAAATAAGTTTTTGGATGTTTTGTAATGACATTGTGCAGGTTCCCATTCTACAGAGGGTAAGGAGAGAGTGAAAGAAGGAGCAGATGGCTCCTCTGTGCTCAGATTTAATCATTTAGAAAATCCATGTGTTTGTGTGTGTTTTGCCTTTTCTTCACACAAAATAATAAAAGACCACAACAAATGTGTCCTTATATTGACCTTTTAGTCAAAAATTGGAATGGGTCACCTTGACCCCAAATCTGCAATGTGGTTTATCTGAAGATATTGATTACGTTTTGTCTCAACAGATGATCTAAGCAGGCTTTGCTTTTACTGCAGGATGGAGGAGCAGGATGAAGAACATTGGGTAATTTCCTATTGCACATTACAAATAAAGAAAATTAGCAGAAATATGTTTCCAGACTTTATCAACATGACATTTGCGTTGGTAATTGCTACTATATTTGGCATCTTCAGCATTAACTGATAAAGGATGAATGTTTTGCTTGTTTTTCCATACATTTTTGTTGAAAATTTCTTTCTTTCTCATAACACAACATCTATGTTTTTGAAAGATTTCGATAATTGAAGGAATGGTTAGAATGTTAGTGGGAAATACATTAGAGATATTCTATTATCATTAAAAAAAATCCCATAATGCATACCTTACATAACAAGTATTTATTGTTTTCTCAGATTTGCAGTGGTACCACAATGTGTACAAAGGCCTCCAGTGGATCAACCGTACTTGTGCCCTGAATGCACATAATGCCCCGAAGGAACCATCATTAACTGTCCACTGTCATTTCAACCAATGCAACTATTGTTTGGCCTGTCATAAAATGCACCCCACCCCAAAAGATGTTTCTATGAATCCCACCGTCAAGCATTTTTCAGGGTATGGTTCTAGGACTGGTACCAATAAATGGAGCAAGTTTCATGAATGTCACACTTTTATTTTGTACGCATAGCTTATATAATAATATGCTGACAAAGACTATGTAACATTTGTAAACATATATCTGGACACAGGCCGTGGGGGGGACACCCGAGACCGGGCATTGCCCCCCGAAAAATAAAAAATAATAAAACCGGGGAAAAGTGAAAATAGGCACTCATGAGGCGGGCAGAGTCCCCTGTCAACTTCCGTTACATTCCTCCATGGTGTCATTTGAGCGAAAAACTTTTACGAGAACCAGGCTGGGGGGGTCAAAAGGGCTTGACGAAGGCCGACCCAAAGTGCACGGTGATGAGCCTCCATTGTGATTTGAAAACTTCCATCAAACGGGTCCTTCGGTGGGCGGGAAAAAAAACGTGTTCGTCAGAATCGTCACTTCCTGTACTGACAGTGGAGGTGTCCTGAGAGTGCAGCCTGCACCGGAACTGTCCTGAGAGTGGAGGTCTGCAGGCAGGCTCCCATGCAATTACTTGAGCTAATGAAGAAAACCAGATTGTTGTCAGATCATGTGGCCAAACAAAACTATGGGGGGGGGGGGGGGGAAGCATCACTACATCAATAATTAATATATATGAAAAACGTTCTGAAATGACATGGTATTATATTTTCAAACAACATAGTAAAGAAAAAACAACTATTGTGACTTGAAAATAACATTAAAAAAGGACATAGTATATTATGTCGAAAATTTTTTTGCAACGTTTATGTTGAAAACATCAGAAAACATTTGATTGTACATCATGTCATAAAATGTATCTTCATATAGTACGTCACAATATATGTCATTAAATAAAATGTCATAGAAAACGGTCGGAAAATACTCATAAAATGTTTTTGTAGTAAAGTATGTTGTAAATAACGTAATTATAAAGTGTGTAAAATAAGAGAATGGGAAATAAAAACAAACACATTTTAGAATAGGATTGAGTTTATTTCCTAAGAAACTTGATTATTGAAAGTGTTAAATGTAATGGAGTCTCGATGCACCAAAACAAACTGGCAGCATTCCCAAAAACTAAAATAAAGTTCTATACAAATGTAATCTTTACAGAAAGAGGAATTGCTTTAAATGTATACCTCTCAATAACTCTTGTAGTAACAGTGTTATTGTACCTGAAAACTGATTACCTAAAAACTACATCCTCAAATTATAATATATCTAAGCAGTCATATATTAATACACACTTCTTCAACCAGAAAAATCTCTCAATCAGTACAAAGTAACGATTATCCTTTTACATTCAGTCTCTTGATACCATACACATGAACTTATTACAACAAAATAAAAGGAAACGGCTGAAAAATATTTACTCAGAATCACAAAGATGTCTCCTGGAATATGGCAATGGTGATAACAATGAATGAATCAAATAAACATTGAATAAAATGGACAAAAAATAAACAGAAATGGTGGAAATGTAACAGAGCCGACTCCTAAATAACCCTGCTGATGCTTACATGGCAGAAGTTTATTTTAACAGTGCTCATATGTGTGTTGAGCATATTCTATTCGAGTATAATAATACTAAAATGAGCACAACCTTAAAATCTAAAGCAATACAATGCAACATACACATAATGCAGCACCGATATTGATCCAAAAGAACCTCTTTAGAACTAAAACCTTGAATATGAACATTTTACTGCATGATGAATACTTTTAATTTCAGGAATTTTAACTTGTATACGAGTATTTCTATAGTGTGGAACGTTACTTAAGTAAAGGATCTGATTATTTATTCTACCACTGCACTCATTTCCATTAATTAAAAATAATTATCGCCTTCGTGTGCGACCGTGTTCGAACAATACAAATTTAAATACAAAGTGGGTATTTTTGAGCACACATCTGAGTGTATTTCTGCCGTGAGTATTAATTGTTTCCCCAATTTTTTTACAGTGTTGTTGCAGAACAAAGGAGCCACTTTATGGCCAGTATAGACTTCCTCAACAAGGTTTGCATGTGAGTACTGCATTCAAAATATCCTTTAAAACACACATTTGAATACAGCCTACAGAGAGATTCCTCTTTACGGTAAATACATGAATGTACAAACTGGAAACACAAAGGGTTAGGTTTTTTAGAAGCCATTTCTGACATATTCTATAATTATGTTTACACTCATGCAACAATGACTGACAGAAGCTTACCATGCATGTTAGGCAAATCATCAGGATGGGTAAGGTGAAGACTGGATGCTTGCTTGCTTATGTGTACTAGTGAAATATTGTATGTCACTCACACACACAGACACACATTGATAGACAGACGGATAAAACAAACAGATGTGAACATGTACTGGAATGGTAAAGTGACCAAAACATATGATAACAAAGACAGAAGATTTAGAGAGATTAATTTAATCTCCTGCAAAGCCTGATAACTCTTCCTCTTTGTGCCATAGAGCTCCATTGTTGTCCGAAAACTATTTAAAACACACAAATAGGCCACACTGCCACACCGAGGGACATGTTTCATCATTAGCATGAACACACATTGTAGTTTATTTTTGCCTCAATCCCACATACACTGTCCTGCTGCTCCTAAAACTCACTACAGCACCGAATGTAAGAAAAAATGGCCGAAGATATTAATTTGATCGTTAAGATTATTGTTTAATTGTATGTCAATCAATTTACTGATTGGAATTCAATTCAAAATGTTTCAAACTGATACAATCAGTTGAAGACAACGACATCACTGTTGTACAATATGTAATTTGGAAAATCTACTACGTATGTAAATTGTAATTTGTAATTACCTTTTACTTATATATTTTTTGTGCATGCCCTTTATCTTATCTCTCTATCTTCACTTTGCTGTAACGATGTACATTTCCCCGAGGAATAAAGATATTCTGATTCTGAATACCTGAGTTTTGGTACAGATACCAACTGCATACTTTTATCAATACCTTACTTGAAGAAATACTTGTAAATTAACTTGCTGATTAATAATCTTTCAAATAAACTAATCGAATCACATCTTTCTACAAAACGTTGTATCCTCCCTTCACCTAAAAAGCAAACGTTTAATGTTTGACCACATGCAACTGAACACAATATGAATCCAGTGTTAACAAATGTTAATGTGGGAACTATATGCTGCCCAGACATTGGATACTGTACCAAAGAAAACACTGATGTTGGACGATTTCTTGCTTTTGCCGAGTTTGTTCGATCTATGAAATGTCTGCCCAATTTAAGACCAAAGTGACATCTTCCAATGCCTTGTGTCTTTCAAAACACAACATATTCAGCTTGTATACATAAGACAAAGAATAGCAGCATATGATATGATTGTCATATGATGACAAAGACAATTAGTTGATTAATAAAATAGTTGCCGATTCTTTTCTGAGAATGTATTCATTGTTTCAGCTCTTTTTACAACCAACATCTTCACCTGGAGGCCCTTTAGTTTCTGTTCAATTTCAGCATCGATAAAAAAATATTAGTCTTCTTTTTACTTTGGTTACATCCGTGGCCACAGTCCTTTACCCTTCACTTGACTTAATGAATATTTAAATGATAAACTAATCACTGGAAGCTGAACACACACACCTTTGTGTCTGACAGCAATGTTGTGTGAGGGTAGAAAAATGTGGACGTACCTTACAGCTTGAAAAATAGCTTAAGACTATCTACAGTGCACAACCTCAATGTGCAAATCTGCTTTGAACCAACCTGTGTTATTTCTTTTGAATGTCTCAAACGGACGGATGCACACACGGGTACAGACAACACACACACACACACACACACACACACACACACGTAGCTTTGGCACCCAGACAGTCACAAGTGAGGAATCATGGCAATGCAGAGTTTAGTACAAACCTGGAAGAAATATAGTTCAAAGTGTATGAAACAGCATCAAATAATATTGCAATGAAAATCACAAAAAAGGAATGAGATATGTGAGCAGTGGATCTACAAAACAAATAAAATCACTCTCACTCCAGTCTTGTCCAATAACTACGTTCCAGCCATAGATGAGTCATTAATAAAACAAACTAAAATCTCTACTGGGTTGGGGCAGGTCAGAACCGCATTACCCATGAGCCTCTTCTTCTGTGGAGCTCTCCTGGGCGCTACTGCCACCTGTGGAACCCGACCAATGAGAAGGAGAGTTGGGGTGAGTGAGGGATGATATCAAATGGAGAAAACACACACACAGGCGCAGACACACACATTTAAAGGTGACGGAGGACATAGAAAAGTGGGAAACATGCAAGATGGCACAAGAGAGACGAAGAAGGGCCAGAGTTAAAGATTAGTAAAAGAAGAAGTCAAAGTGAAACAAGACTTCTATTTGTTGCTCCAAATGGAAAGAAAACGAATTAAAAACCTAATTGCCCCTTTTAACAATTCCAACAAACAAAAATACATATTTTTTTAGATTGACTTTACATGTTTTTTCTTTAATTGAATTGCTGCTTATATTTTATCACCGTTATATTCTGTTACCAATTATATGTATATATTTTTTTGCATCCAACCAAAAGTATTTCATACAATTGTACTTGTATAATCGTAAACAAAGTGACAATAAACATCATGAATCTGTGAGAGGCAAACTCAAATTAAACATCTGTGTTTTCAAAGAAATTCCGTAAATATGATAGTTAATTTAAATGTTCATATCAGTCAGCTTATCATGCTTCTCTCAGAGGCTTCTTCTTCTTTTGTGCCATCTTGTCTTTTTTACTACACTTGGTGATCCAACACACCCTCAGACAGACATATTGGAGTCCTTCTGCTCCAATATCAAACTCACTTTCTGCTCAGTGGTTTGGACGGTTATTTTCTGATCCGTTTCCAACTGAGAAGTGATACTACATCAACCTGCTGACTGATTACTTCCCTCACAAAAACTCATCAATGAGTCACATTGTTGCACTGGGTGACATGTTCCTCCTTTACCATCAACACACTAGAGGTTTCTCAATATTCAAATTTCCCCTCCTCGACTCCTCGGTCCTCCGGTAGTGACCCGGAAATGAATTTTAGCGCGCCAGTTGAAGGACATCTCATTTCTCTAAATGCACTTCGAGGACCGAGGACCGAGGACCGAGCATCGAGCGTCGAGGAGGCTCTCTGGAGGAACTCTAACCGAGGAGACACTGATGCATCCTCCACGGCTCCTCCACGGATGCATTTCCGGGAACGGTGGAGGCGGACTTATGTCAGCCAATGACAGCTCTGCATGCATCCCTTGGATATTATATTAGTAACTGCTTTCATCACAACGCAATGTTTACAGTGAGAACAGCTGTGAGGTCCGTGCAGAAAGCAGAGCAGTGTGTAAAATATATATCACTCAGTATAACAGGCCTACATTACTTTCTGTATTTGTTTGCTGTAGTTTAGTAGATATCTACAAACAAAGAGTCGATATTTTTCTGAGACCATTTAGTGCTTCACATAATAAAATACACAACGGCTGTAGCCTGATTATGCTTTAGGAGCAGTAGGTGTGTGTGGTACAGTGTAGTGTGTAGGTGTGTGTGTGGTACAGTGTGTAGGTGTGTGTGGTACAGTGTGTAGGTGTGTGTGGTACAGTGCGTAGATGTGGCGGACAGACGGGTCTCAGTTGGTTTGGTGACCTATGCTTACTTTTAATACTTGTACAACTTTTGGCCCGTAATTTCAATTCCCCATTTCAGCGACCAGAGAGAGGGGGGGGGGGGGGGGGGGGGGGGGATATATCCAGTCTCTGATTGTGTTACGTTATTATGAGAGTGCTCTCATACTTGTTTGATTCTGAAATTGTATATATTTATATACATATATGTGTGTGTATATATGTCCGCATCTGTAGCCTGTTATTGTCTCATTATACCGCACTGTCAATGAATCAAAGTAAATATATAAGTCATCATGAACACATCTGTCTATCAGACAGAGGGCTGCTGTGCCTCCTGTCATCATTAATGGACGTCTCTTTAAAATTACCACTCAGAGGAGAGGAGTTCTCATTTCTCTAACCGCCTACTGCTTCCCCTCCTCTCTCCTCCGCTCGCATCTCCTGTGGGCGGCACCAAGTCTCGAGGAGGGGAGTCGAGGATAGGAGTCGAGGAGGGGAAATTTGAGTATTGAGAAACCTCTACTGTGTGTTGTGTTATTTTAAAGCAATCACACAGTCCTGCTGCATCAAATACTCAGTAGAGAACCAAATGTGGATCAATCCGCCGCTGAAAATAGTCCCAAACTAATGCACTACTTTCACCTGTTCGAGTAACATTTTGATTACAACTTTTTTCGATGATTTTAAGAGAATAGTTAATGTATTGAAATATATTAGGGTTTATAAGTGTATTGTTTTGAATAGGTTTAAAATAAATTGTTGCCAAATAGCATTACCCCTTCATTTCTTTAATATCTTAGGAGTTTAAACTTTCTTTTTTTATTAGGGTAAAAATGAACCACTTAAGATGAAAGGATCATCGATTTACTTTAAATTGAAAATAGGCTTGGTTGTACTTTTATAATGAAGAAAACTTAAAAATAAGAGCTTTCTTAAGCAAGTTCTGCAGTTATTCAGACCTGTATTTACATCTATGCACTTGTCCCTTTCACCTCAGGTAGTTTCTTTGGCTTCCTGTCGCTGAGCCTCCATTATGGATGCCAGTATACACATTTGATCCCTTTAAAGTCATTATAATATTATCTTTATTGATAGAAAATCCTGACATTTCTGTGTTAACCAGATATGACACAACATTTACATACCCAACAGAGAGAAGTGAGATGATTTCAGGGAAAAGCAGAAACTAGGAAGAAGACAGGATGGAGAAATAAAGGTTATAGAGCCTCACAAACACTTACACACACACACACGAATAAGTCTTATGAAAATAAACTGCACCCACTGGGACGGCAAATTTGAAAGGTTAAAAAGAGTCCCGTTACACTTTCAAGAGGAGTGTGCTGTATGTACAGTCTGTCTGCATTTCATTTACCTCATGCACAAATCAAACTAACAGTAGTTCTCAATGGTGTCAAAGATTGAAAAGTTTACAGGGAACGCTGCACAGCCAGAGAAGAGAGAAGAAGACATGGAGGCACGCAAGGAAGGAAAAGAAAAGAGAGAGAAAGTATTATCATCAGCTGAAAGCAAACAGGAAAAGGCAGCAAGAGTACTACAAAGACGTTTCCATTCAAATAGAACTGGGCAATATAACGATATTATATCAACATCGTGATATGAGACTATATTGTCTGAAATTTGCATATCATATATGGCGTTTTTTTATTCCTCTTCTTTTATTTGCCTTTACCGACTTAGTCCCTTTATCAATGATACTGAATATTAATAATTATAAATCGTATAGTGTAAATGTTTTGTGAAAGCTCAAATAATGACCCCCACAATATTGCCGTAATATTGATATTGAGGTATTCAGTCAAAAGTTGTGCAATATTTGATTTAGTTTGCCCAGCCCTAAATTCAAGAGTTTTAGCGATTTATCAGTAATAAAATGTTAGTTTTGAGACCAAACTGCAGCAGAGATCAGACGTGGTTCAGACGGACTCACCTTGCTGTGTGGTGTTCTTCTCGTTGAGCAGCTTGGTCTGACTGTTGGGCAGGATCTTGATCTCTGGAGGATCAGGACTCTGACCGACCCGGGACGCCATGAGAGCGTTCAGATACTGCAGACGTGTCACCTAGAAAAACAAAATTGAGCAGGTTGACTCAACATCACACTTTAATTAAAGACTGTCAGGCTGTTTAATATCGATTTGGAATGTGAATAGAAGTGTATAGAAATATATGCAGGCAGAAAATGCCTTAACCACAAACAAATTGTTTTTTTAATATATGTAATTTTGACGTCTCTATTCAACAGGTGCCATTGACAAGCAGCTAATAATGAAACACATTAAGGAGGCAAACAATATTTTAAGAGACGTGTTGCCCAAATCTTGTCTGTAAGTCTCAAACCAAGAAAGTTAAACAGGCCTAAGATTGTCATGGCAACACTTGGGTAGGGGGATAATCTTGACTGTTGGGGGGGTAATGTGAAAAAGCTACGCTATGGGTGTAAGAATGAGTATTTCACTCTTTATTGACTGCTGTTTACAATCTGTATTCCTCCCTGTGGATTTGGATGCATGTTGCTCTGGGAATTCAATATGTACAGGTATATTCATTTGTTAAACAAAGTGATACATTTATAATTATATCCATAATTATAGTCAAATAAAATAAATATGTTTGATCCCTAATCGGGTCCTTTTGCATAACAGTTCATGTTGATGGGTATTTTTGGGCTCGATCTTGGAGTCGGACATCCAGTTCATCTTGGACATCCCAAAAATGTGTGTCTTCATTTCATTTCATACCTTTATTTATGCAGGTGAATCCCATTGAGATCATTGCTCTCTTTTTCAAGGGTGACCTGCTGAGTGTGAGGGTGTCTGACTTTTTAAGTGACTGAAAACACACACACTTACGCGTATGAGCTGCAGGTCAGTGAGAGCTCGGACGGTGTAGTCGGGACAATAACTGGACGGGCTGGTGGCGTCTGCTGACTCGAACGGATCTCTGGGAGACTGACACTGGGTCGACACAGGAGACTGATGCACTACACACAACACACACACACACACAGTCAGCACAATTTCTGCAATCCTGCAACCTCATTTTTATAGTCAGGTGTCGACTCAAATAAACCTCAGTTACATAAACCATGACAACAAGTGGAAACTGCTGCATGCTTAATGTTTCAACTGCATGATAAATGCTCAAACTTGACAGAACATGTTAGAGGTGAATCTAACCTCAAATAAACTTCACCAGTACTATTTGTCATTATTGTACAAATAGGCTGCTGTGATCCCTCCCAAAAAATTGATTATAAAGTGAGTCATCTATCAGAGAAATATACAAGACGTTCTCTAGTTTCGAATGTTGTAGTTGAGGGAATTTGTTGCTATTTTAAATTTGTGTGATTGTAAATTTAATATGTTTGGGTTATAATTATTTTGGTTTTTAATTAATATACGACTATTGAATCAGGTGAATAAGTAGTTTTCCTTGGTATTTTAATAAAAGGTCACAATAAACAATGTAAAAGATAAATGAAAAGAAGCTAGTACTGAAAGTCAAAAGTTGTATGTATAAAAATTGTAACATCTGTTTTTAAAATGAAAAGAGCTGTACAGTCTAAAAGGTAGATATCCAAATAAAACTCATGGCTCTAACATCTCTGATAAATGGGTTTAATGTCAGCAAACTTTTTTCAACCGTCTCCTGATTCTCTATTCAATTAAAATACTGATGATCAAATCTTATGAACCACCTTCTGCGTTTGTAAGAAGTTTCTTCCATATAAAAAAATCGTCCAGTTGTTTTTAATCTCACCTGAAGATGGCAGCGTGAGCGCAGACACGCCGTAGTATGTAAACGCTCCGTTCTCAAACTTCAGGCCCTCTTTCCCGATCTCCACCTCCACACGACCCTGAACACAGACAGCAAGCATGTTTATGTTGAAAGATTTTCGGGTTAAATAAAGAAAAAGTATACTATAAACTCCAAAAGATGTAAAACTGTCTGCTCTTTACAAGCCGGTAATTTTTTTCTTGTGAATCTGATTTAATAGCAGTTTCTCCCCATCCTTAAGTTTACTCATAACGTTTTAAAAAAGAGATAATTCTTCTAGCTGATAATACAATGTTTCCTCATAGGTATCTATAAACACTGTTTTAAAGTATGCTGTTAAACACATTAACCTGTGTTATTTCTTACATTTTAATTTTATTTGATAGATTTATTCAATATGTATTGATCTTATCATGATTTGTTATTCTATACCACAATATTGTAGAAGCTTATATTGAAGTATCCTGATATTTAAAACTGAGATCTGCTTGAAAAACTATTTTAAAAGTCTCAAACTCATTTTAAAGGCAAGGCAAGGCAAGTTTATTTATATAGCACCTTTCAACACAAGGCAATTCAAGGTGCTTTACAAAAATGAAAGACATTCAGACAAAGGCATTTAAAAACAGTAAAAGATAATAAAAGAAACATTAAAAGAAAAAATACATGAATAAAAAGTACATGAATAAAAAGTTACAGTGCATTAAGATATGAATAGTTCACACAGAAGTTCCACTTTACTGATGAACACAACGGCTCAGTTTCAATTAAAAGCAGCGGCAAAAAGAAAAGTCTTCAGCCTGGATTTAAAAGTAGTCAGAGTTGTAGCAGACCTGCAGGTTTCTGGGAGTTTGTTCCAGATATTTGGAGCATAATAACTGAACGCTGCTTTACCATGTTTAGACTCTGGGGACAGAAGGCTGACCAGTCCCTGAAGATCTGAGAGATCTGGATGGTTCATAATTTAGCAGGAGGTCAGAAATGTATTTTGGGCCTAAACCATTCAGTGCTTTATAAACCAGCAGCAGTATTTTAAAATATATTCTTTGACACACAGGAAGCCAGTGTAAAGACTTCAGAACAGGAGTGATGTGATCCACTTTCTTAGTGTTAGTGCGGACTCGAGCAGCAGCGTTCTGAATCAGCTGCAGCTTCCTAATAGATTTTTTAGTGAGACCTGTGAAGACACCATTGCAGTAGTCGAGTCTACTGAAGATAAAAGCATGGACAAGTTTTTCCAAATCCTGCTGTGACAGTCTTTTAATCCTAGATATGTTCTTTAGGTGATAGTAGGCTGATTTAGTAACAGTTTTAATGTGACTGTTGAAACTCAGGTCAGAGTCCATGACTATACCTAGATTTCTGGCTTTATCTGTTGTTTTGAACATTGCAGGCTGAAGCTCAGCGCTAACTTTTAAACGTTCTGCCTTGGCTCCAAAAACCATTACCTCAGTTTTGTCTTTGTTTAATTGGAGAAAGTTCTGACACATCCAGTCATTGATTTGTTCAATGCACTTACTCAACCATTTCACCAGGAGACTATTCTCCAGTTAAAATACTATGTAAATGTGTGTGTCATCCGCATAGCTATGGTAACTTATTTTGTTGTTTTTCATTATCTGAGCTAGTGGTAGCATGTAGATGTTAAAGAGAAGAGGCCCCAAGATGGAGCCTTGAGGAACCCCACATGTCATATTTGTCAACTCAGATGTGTATTTACCTATAGAAACAAAGTTGTTTCTGTCCTTTAAGTAGGATTCAAACCAATTCAGAACTGTTTCCGAAAGTCCCACCCAGTTTTCCAGTCGGTCTAGTAATATGCTGTGGTCAACAGTGTCAAACGCAGCACTGAGATCTAATAGTACTAACACTGAAGTTCTGCCACTGTCTGTGTTTAAGTGGATGTCATTGAAGACCTTTACAAGAGCAGTCTCAGTGCTGTGGTTTGGACGAAAGCCTGACTGGAACACATCAAAACAGTTATTTAAATGCAAGAAATTACTCAACTGTTGAAAGACTACTTTTTCAATGATTTTACCTAGAAATGGGAGGTTTGATATGGGCCTGTAATTGTTCATTACTGAAGCGTCTAGATTATTCTTTTTTAAGAGCGGTTTAATGACTGCAGTTTTGAAGATGAAAGTAAATCAACCAATAAGTCAAAATGTCACTTTTATATCTACCTACATGTACCTCTTTTCTACAGTGACAGTTCATATATTGTGGCTTCAAAGTATTCCTATAAAGTGAGTAAAGTACATTTGACTGAAATAAATGTGTGAATACAATGTGTGTGTGTCCACCTGCAGCAGCAGGATGAAGTAGTCCACCGGGTGGTTGCGTGTGTACAGGTAGTGAGCCGCGCTCAGACGGTTGGTCGGGTCAAAGTGCACTTCCTGATTGACACTGGGGTGACGGAGCAGGTGAAACAAGATCTTCTCAGAAACACGTCCGGGGCTGAAGTGTGACACCTCTGCAGGGGTCAAAGGTAAGAGACACACGATATGGTGAACTGTCAAATATATCTATACAATTAGACGTCATATAACTTCTTTGCAGTTTCGTTGTCCTATTATCCTGAGCCTTCGGCTGAATTATAATAAGTGACAGGAGCATAATAATGACATGTGTGGGGTTAAACTGTGACTCATTTAATCAGTGTGAGGAGCGTGAGCAAACACAGCCTCACTCAGTCCGTCCCATCACACACACCACTGTGAAACCTTTGGAATCAGCTGTTATATTCATTCTTTTCTGATTTCCTTTCATATTGGCTTTTGTAAAAAAGATTTCAAAAAAACATTTTGTTGATGTTGCCACATAATTGGCAGGTGAGAAAAGTGTTGGAAAGTTGGATTTATTTCAGAGAAGTCTCGATGTTAAACTATATTTTGTCAGACTAAAGCACTATTAGCTGATATTTCTTGTTAACCCAAAATATATATTTCTTATGTGAAGTTTGCATGTTTATAAAAGCATCATTGTGCACTTGACACTGAAACCTGTTCCTATTCAAATCTCCACACATCTAAATGCTAAGCTTCCCGTTTCTTTGACCAAATACTAGGGATTTATTCTCCCCGTTTGTCTCTTTCTGCCATTTCATTTGCAAAACAAACCCCTTTTTTTTTTTTACCAAATACCATCCATTTGTAAAAAGGGCTTTCTACAATCTAAAGGCATAAAAGACCATTCAAAAATATAGACTATCCTTGAGCCTTTTGAATGTATCCATTCAAGCTTTGGTTGCAGGAGATAACTTCATACAGTAGTGTACATACTGTATACGTATGAGCGTAAGTTAAGATGGACAGACCTCTGGACAAGAAGCGGTGTGTGGCCAGCAGGAGCTGTGGGGATGTTCGGATCTTGGGTTCTCCCTCAGGAGGCTTGAAGAGAGAAAACTCCTCGTGAACGGTTCGAGGCTCCAGAGAAATCTCCAGCGGGGCGAGGGGCCGCTTCACCTTCCTGTCCACTACAGGAGGAGGAAATCTTAATGACATACATAGGATGCTAAATGAACAATCACATTTACAATCGACAAACTTACAGTAGCCGTCAGATTCATCCAGGATCTCTGATTTGATGATCTCCTCGATGACGTCCTCCAGCGTGACCAATCCCAGCACCTCGTAGAAAGGATCCCCCTCCCCCTCGTTGTTTACCTTCTGCACGATGGCCATGTGAGAGTTACCTGATAGTAGAGGAAAGATCAGAAAGGAGTTTATAAAGAGATTATTAAAAGGGTCAGTTCAACCAATTTACAAAAAATATACAATTTTCCAACAATTTGAAATTATTAACAACATTAAGATCCTGCTTTAACATTAAGAAATAACCTTTTTATATTATCTGTAACCGCATAACAGTCACAGTAGACATGTTTTTATTTTAAATGCTTAGTACATTTAGTAAAAGTATTTCATGAACAACATCTCTTCAATGTACAAAAACATTTCATAATAAACATTACAGCACATCAAAGACTTTTAATACCTGCTTAGAACTTATTTTGAAGGAACCTTGATTATAGACTTTTCAAGCTGTAAAGATATTTAGTAAATAAATCTAAATAAAAGGATGAAAAACGTTACATCAAAGACACCTCTGCTATGACACTTTGAATGTGAGCACACCTTTCTTGAATTCCTCCAGCATGGCGTCCAGTTTTGTGTCGTTGAAGACGTAGTGCAGTGGGTGATTGTAAAACTTGGTGATAGTCGTCATGGGGGTGCAGTCGTCCGGGTCCACCAGAGCCAAGTCCTTCACGTACAGGATCTCCACGATGTTGGACCTGGAAAGTCAAACACAAGTTAATGAGTGGACATGAGAATTGCCATGTGAAGAAACCAAATACCAAATCTATTGTTTGTTGGCACTGAAAGTTGTCTTTGTGTGTGTTTGCCTATGTGTACTTTTGTAATGAGTCACTAATAGGTCACTAAACCAACATTACCAAGAGAAATCAAGTGTGCTCCAGAGAAGGCTTAAAAAATAACTCTTTCATTTGGAAAAGTTTAAACCTTGAACTGATCCACATTGTTCTGCCTTATGGCTGAAGGTATCTAAATCCACAACTATATAAAAAGGAATAATCTAACATAACGTAGGGCTGTGCAATTCATCGTATTTTAATCGCAATTACGATTTTGGCCTGCCACAATTACGAAAACATAATAAAAAAACGATTATTTTGCTTTGCTAGGTTGTGACAGTGAAACATATTTGATCTAATTTATTTTAGTCTAATTTATTTTTATTTATCATATTAATATATGTTTAGTAGCTTGTGGAAGTGCGCTCCAAAATATTTGTTGATCTTGTTTATTGGTATTTATTATGTTGATATTATTTATTTAAATTGAAATATATCATTTATTTTAGTATTGGTTTTTCAGTTGAATTATAGGTTCAGGGTAATCAACAGTTAAAAAGATACTGTTCAAATTATTATTTGCATTTTGTTTTAAAGTTCAATAAATGGATGTTTTCAAAGTCAATAAATAATCGTATTTAATTATCGTGATATCAATTATTGACCAAAATAATCGTGATTATGATTTTTGCCATAATCGAGCAGCCCTAACATAACGTAAATAAATGCACCAGTAGGACATACCAGTGCACATACATTTAGAGAGTTGAGTGATAAGAGACAGAGATTTATTTTCAAATGAAGGAGCTAAGTAAAATTACTTAAATGTCTGTTCTTGCATAAAATATATATTTTGTGCAAGAATTTAAACTTTTAAGGATTTCAAGGACCTGTGGGAACTCTCTAATATTTGTAGGGATAACATTAAACTTTACATTTTTAAATATATATTCCTAGCAATATGTTTTGTATAATACTTTGAGTGCTTTAACCAAATCCATTTCTAATCCTTCCTGGTCTAGCATTTCAAAATTGTAGTTTGTAAGTACAATATTCTGGTTATTTATTATTTTCACCATCAAACTACAACTTTTGTTTCAAAGTTTTGGAGAAACCGTGTTCCTGAGCCCACCTCTCCTCCTCGTAGATGGGCACCCTGTTGTACCCGCTCTGCATGATCTCCGACATGGTGGAGAAGTCCAGGATGACGGAGCTGGGCAGCATGAAGCAGTCCTTCAGCGGGGTCAGGATGTCCTCCACCGTCTTACTGCGCAGCATCCCGCGGCTGAACTCCTCCTTCACAAACTCACTGGGACAGAACACAGAGTAGATGAGACGTGGAAAACATAAAAAGGTTTTGAATCAGAATCAGAATTCCTTTATTAGTCCCGCAGCGGGGCTATTTACAGTGATACAGCAAAAGTGGCATAGCAGGTAAAAAAATGCATGCAATAATAAAGAGTACATATATTTAATATGTGTATGTATATATATATATATATATATATATATATATATATATATATATATATATATATATACACACGACCCAAATATGTATATATGTTCATTTTAATTCATTTCTTATTTTAAAGTTACTGTACTGTAAATAACTGTATAACATTTTATTTGTATTTTTGATTTTATCTTTAAATTGTATTCATCTCTAATCTGTGTGAATCTGTGCTCATTCTTACCCTGTTGCTGTTAAACTACTGAATTTTCCCACAGGGATTAATAAAGGTCCATCTTATCTTAATCAATTGTAATCATCATACAACCTAGCCCCAATAAACTAAAATACATAGATCAAAGCATACAACAAACAAATAAAGTAATAAACATTATAATAAAACAACCACGTTTAGGGCCTGTCTAAATGTTATAGTACCCTATAATAAAGTAAACAAAGGTTTACCATCTTGACTTTAATATTTTAACTAGCTTATTTAACATTTAAAGGAAGGCAATTACAGAGATAAGGGCTCCAGAGACGCGGATTGTGATATGCGTGTCTTTATTTACCTGTAAGGGTCGTTGACACTTGTGCGGATCATCTCCATGGCCCTCTCCCTGATCCCACAGGTGGTGATGTCCCTCCTCAGCGCCAGGTCCAGGATCAGTCCCAGGGGGCAGGACAGGGGGAAGGTGAGCACCAGACAGACCTGGGCCAGCCAGGTGAGACCCGGCGCCAGCTGGAAGCCGTACCCGGAGCACAGGATGTGAGGAGCCAGCTCAGCCAGGAGGAAGATGAGGAAGCCGCTGGTGAAGACGGCGGAGAGGATGGAGCCCAGCGCCCGGTACAGGAGGACCCCGAGGACTGAGTGGCCCAGGACCGACAGGAAGAGCAGAGAGCATGCCTGGGGAGAGAGGATACAGAGAAATACATTTAGGGTGAGAAACTCAAACTCAGCTGTTATATTCTTAATCCACAATATGTTTTCATCCTTACAAAACGTTTCTTTCCATCATGCATACTGTTTTTACAGACTCAACCCTTTATAGGGCACTATTAGGTTAACCCTAACGCGTTTTAGGCCTCTGCTGATTGGTCAAATTCCCCAATGGCGTGCTCTGTGGCGTAGAGTGATCTTCGCTGATTGGCTGGGAGAAAACCACATGCTTCTCGACCTCACTGAGGGACGCCATGTTTGGTGTGTGCGGTTATGGTTCCTCGCCCGATAAAGGGTTAACTGTCTTATTTAAGTGTAGGAGAGTATTTTATTTAATGCCTAGCCACTTGCAGAGTTATGTTTTGTTGTCCTTTATTGATAAAGGTGAGACACTACAGGCAAAAACATTGTACAATTTTGAGTTTGGACAATTTTTGTTCCATAACATGTCTTTCTTTCAGTATTGTCATACTGTTATTCTGTACAAACTGTGAAGTCCACTGAGACAAATGTAACATTTGTGATATTGGGCTATATAAATAAACATTGATTGATTGACTAGCGAAAATAAAACATCCAAAACACATTTTGTTGTTTTTTTCCTCTGTCTAGTAATTCCCTCAAAATTAAACATTCTGAAATGTGTTATACAAAAAGTCTCTGTATGTATGAAATACACTAGAAAACTTCGAAAAAGGAGGAGAAGAATTTTACAAAACTATTTATAAAAAAGGTAGTATTCTCAAAATAATGTCTTTCTCATACTCTGAGCCAGAATTCTTCACATCAGTAGCACTGACAAACTTTCCAGTTTCACTCCCATCTATTTTGTCAAGGTTTTTACAAAAGGGGTTGGTAATATGTTATTAATAGCCTGAATAATGACACATTGTATCCTTAAAAAACATGGCACAAAGTATATATTGTTACGTGGCTGTTAATAGTATCTTTGATTTGGGGAATGATACAAAAAGATACCCAGGATCCCCTCTCTAAAAACCTTGATTTGTCATTTAAAAATGTCAACAAAACCAAAAACGTTTAACATTTAAAGTTTTGGATCTGGCTTGTTCAGATTATCTCTGTGTATGCAAATTATGACACATACATTTCCAATATTATTCATTATTATAACAAGATTAGTTGTATTAATGTAGGCAATAACCTTGGGAAGAGACATAGTAATACCCTAACAGCTGTCCCGACTCTGCCTGCTGATATGTGACTTTCCCACCTTGTTTTCAGAAACTTACCAGGAAGTTCCCTCTCCTCCTGATGGGCTCCAGGCGCTTGGCGGCCCGCTTCTCCTCCTCGGACCCGCAGCTGTGGAGCACATACAGCTCCACGGGGTCCAGCCACAGCAGGCTGAGGTTCACTGTCCTCAGCAGTCCGCACACCAGCAGCAACAACACCACCAGCACCGCCAGCCCCCAGGGCGGGATGTAGTCTGCGGGCAGCCCGGTGTCGGTGTTGATCCGCAGCCTGTCCGGGCCCGAAGAAGCCCATTTCCCCCCGCTCTGCACGCACAGGTGGTAGTAGGACTTCCCGCTGCCGACCCCCGCAGAGATGCTCCTTTTTCGGACCTCCACCGTTATGAGCCCGCTGTATTTCTCATCCGGGGTGAACTCCCCCGTCACCTGGAAGGCAGACTGCCCATGGCTGGACTCCTGTCCGCAGGGGTCAGGCGCATCCCCAACCGCCCCTGCCGCTCCGCCAGCTGCCCCAGCGAACGCCACCCACGGCCAGCTTCCATTCAGCTCAGTCCCGTAGAGACGGAGCTTGAACGTGGCTCCTTCTGGCGCCGAGATGATGCGGTCCTTCATGCACACCAGGCCCGCCGGGTTCTCCAGTCGCAGCCCCAGCACCAGTGGAGCCTCTTGGCTGCAGGCGCCGTACCTGATCCCGCAGAACAACAATATCTTCAACAGGAACCATAGACCTGCCAAGCTGGCCACCATATTGGAATTGGTCAGCCTGGCTCTGTGCGGATCATGTGACTCCTGCCCCACAACGGCCCCGCCCACCCGGGCTGAGCCAGCCAAACAAAACGAACACTGCAACTGATCTCCGTGGCGGCCATTTTGGCTCTACGTATACAGGCGGAGCTCTGGGAAATATGTTCATTTTGGGGCTTGGTTCTGAATGGTTTTGTTTTACAGCACCGCCTCCTCTGAAAGTCAGCTAATTGGAGTAAGTAGGCTTGTTTGAGACAAGCGAGACCGACGCAGACCTGCGCAATTGCGATCAACGTCTTGCTAGTGCGTTGCATGATGGTTAGTCATTTTGTCCGACTTGCTCTGGAGGCTCGCCTACATGAGACGTTGAAATCTCGCGGGAGAGCGAGGCTCGGCGAGGCGGCGCAGTTCCTCTCCACGGGCTGCGGAAGCGAAATGCTTGATGGGAAACGACTCGCTGGTATCTCGAGCTGAGCGCTCATTGGTGGTTTTTACCCCGTGCTGCTGATGAAACTCTCCAATTGGCTTAGCAAAAGTTTATTGTTGTTTTGTGTCAGTTTTACGTCGCCACTTCCATTCCCATTTTTCATCATTGTTCCACAATGTTTATCATCATGAAATTAATATCTGTTATACTATACTATACTTGCACTGCTTACCGTTTTCATACTTTATATATCTTAGCATATTCATACACTGTTCACACTGCTCACAGGCTGATGTGTACAGTGTATTCAGGGGTCGGCAACAGGCGGACCGCGGTCCGGATCCGGACCCAGACGCCGACCTATACGGAGCTATAATCAAGACATTAATAGGGGATTTTTCGGCACCTCCCGCTTTTTTAACGCCGATTTGGGTGACTTGTGTAATTCGAGGAGAACTGAAGAGTTTTCGTTTTGGGGGTGGGGGAGTCCGTCCGTCCGTCAGTCGGACTGACGGACGGACGGACAACTTCTCACTTCAAAAAAGAAGAAGAAATCTAAACCCCAAAAAATTAAACAAGCGAGTAGCTGTTTTTCCTGGCCATGGACAGGTTCCTTGAACACAACACGAGCGTAACGTGTCTTAACGTAACGTAACGTATGTCTCGTCTGAAAGGAGTTCTGACAGAGAGCACCGGAACGCCGCTCCAGCCCTTCAAATATTGCAGTACCCATAAGGAGCCGGACACATGCCGCAGTGTTTGCGTGGCTGTGTCTTTAGTTGTAAGCACAGTGGCGATCTGTTGTTATTAGCATCTGGTTAGCTAGCTATGCTAACAAATTTAAAGAGCTTTTCTACAATCAGGTGGAAGAGAGCTCTCTCCTGAGAGGCTCAAATAACCTCAGCTCAGTGAGGTGAAGGCACACCTTGATATGATCATTTATTAATGAGACTAAATGAAAAACAGGTATAAAATACTATATGACAGTAACAAAAAAGTTGTTAAAAACAACAAGAATAGAGTTTAACACTAGAACCGCCAGAGGTAGCTGTATACCTAAAACCGCCAACGGGTAAAATGTACCCGCTATTTATTTTCAAGGTACAATTGTGGTGACACGTTATTGGACATAATTCACCTTGCTTATTGTGTTGCCACACGGACCCTTTAGTGGGGAACACCTGTAGCTTTAGCTGCCATTCCTGCTAGCTCATCAGGCAGAGCAGTGCATGTGTTAACCTCTCTGAAAGTAATGGATAATAAAGATTGGAACTCCATTCTTAATACACCGCCTCCGACTCTCTTTTCACGGCACTACACAATGTTCTTTTATTTATCATACAGAACAGTGAGTTTTGATCGCACAGTTTTGATCGCACATATGATATAGTTTGTGCATGAAGTATACAATATCGCTACCAGTGCTGATTTAAACGCTTAGTGTTAGACTTATGTTTTGTTTAGGTACAAATCTCTCTATCTCTCTATCTATCTATAACTATCTATCGATCTATCTGTAATGTTCTGTTCTATGTACATATAATTGTCTACATAAACAGACCGACGCCGACTACTTCTCTCATTCACGAGTTCGCATCTTTAATTCACTGGCATGGCGTAACCTGCAGCATGCATTACGTCTGCAACGTGAGTTCATCATCCAAGATCTTGTATTCTCCAAGAGGTAAACATGTATCAAAGAGGCAGAACTATCGTAGAGAAAGAGAGCAGAGTGAGGAGTAGCGAGATAGAGAGGGGAGGAGATCGAGAGAGAGTCATAGATAGCTCAGCGCGATACCATGACTGCTCGAGTCGTCGCTCGCCTCATCTCATCCTCTCTCTCTCTCGCTCTCTCTCTAGCTCTCTCTCTCTCTCTCTCTCTCTCTCTCTCTCTCTCTCTCTCTCTCTCTCTCTCTCTCTCTCTCTCTCTCTCAAAATCTATAAGGAACCGCAGTAGACAAAAGGCATTGCTATAGAAACACGTCATGTTTACGCTGCATTTTTCTATGAGGTAAATATTACCCGCTGGCGGATATAGGTATAAATGGCATTTTCTTTGGCGATTTTTTCAATCTGACTTCATATTGACAATTGTTAACAACAGAGGGTGCTACATAACACACTTTCAGGAAAAGTCACGGACTGGGAGACTTTAATATGTTATTGAAAAAAAGTTACATACAATCAAAAAACAGCTGCGGGTAAAATGTACCCGTTGGCGGTTCTAGTGTTAAAAGGGGAGTGATTTGTAAAATATCCAAAAAGAAAAATCTGCTTACAGTTCTGTTTCATATGGGTGTTGAAAGATGTATCCATAGATCTCTTCACGTTGCTCTCAAAGTGCACCAGATTGATGCTTTTAACTTCAATATTTAACAATAAATCTTCCCGGGGGAGCATGCCCCCGGACCCCCCTAGAGGAGGTTAGGTTCCCCCCCCCCCCCCCCACACTTAAATCATGTTCACATGGATAGGATACTAAATACATTTGCACACATCTTGTGTCCATATCTTTCTGTTTTGGTGGTCACGCCACACCGTGCATGCATGCATGCGCGAGTCATGGTGAGATATCTGGATTGGTTTCTTTTTCTTTGCACAGCATGAAGGAAAGGCCAAATGAATGGGCTGTGATTTTAGTTTTTTTAAGCAGAGGTTGAGTTCAATAATTTGTACGACCCTCGGAGGATGTTGTAAAAATTGAAAGGAAAAAGGTTCCCCACCCCTGCTGTAAATAATAATAAAACCCCTTGATTTATAACTTAACATCTCTGTCTCCTATTGATCTGAGTATATTATTTAAAAAAAATAGCCAGTTAATTGAAGCATTATAGCACAGGCCTTTGTCAGATGGTATATTACGCTGTTTTTTTTCTGCTTCGAATAGTTCTCTCTTTTTTCACCATACCTGTGTTTGCATCACTGTAACCAATGAGCACCTGCATGTGTGTGAGAATGGCCCTGACTCCATTTCAGCCCAGATTTACAAACTCCTGGCAGGACAATAAGCTCCAGCTCAATTCTCGCACTGAATAAAACAAAGTGAGTGAGGGTCTGCAATATAAGAGGGAAAGAAAGAGAAACTTTAAAACTGTCCAATTGTTATGATGTAAAGACTGATATTGTTCTATAATCGGCTGAAACTGTTAAGTCATGATGTGAAACGGTTAACAAAGAAAAAGGGAAACTCAAGCTGCTGCTACACTTTATTTTATTTATCTAAAATTAAGCACTTTAAGATGCACATATTTTCAAAAGCTATTTTATTTATTTTATCTATTTCATTTTTAAATGCAGCCAGAGAGGAACATTACACATATCCACAGTATTTACTGTATATTTGTATAGTTCAATGTTCATTGACTATAAATATTGTTGTTTTTGAATTGTACTTTCTTTATTTGGCAGTCAGTTGTTGATTACATGCAGACGTTGATAAAGCTACAGGTCACTTCAATATATATCACATTAATTCATGAAGCAAGTTAGACATTTTTGATGTTCCTTGACCTTTGCATGGGGAGATTTTCTCTAACTGGACCTCGTTGAATTTTAGTTGAATACCCCTGGTGTATATCTAGTGTATTCATACCCCTCACTGTTTATGCATCATTCAATTAATTATATATTTTATTCTGTCTATTACGTTACTTTTCACTTTACTGCTTTGTGCACTCCTGGTTAGAAGCTAAACTGCATTTCGTTGTCTCAGTACTTGTAATATGTGCAATAACAATAAAGTTGAATCTAATCTTGAGCAGGAACAAATGTATTTACTTAGCCTACATATCTGACATTAACGATAAAACACATTTGTACATTCTTTATAAATGTAAACCGAGTCAAGCCAACTCCGGAGGTGGCGGTATGCAACTTAAAGATGTTTGCAATCCGCCAAAAAACCGAGAGAAGAAGATGAAGATGAAGAAGCCGACTCCGAGCTGTCCGACTTCAGGCGAGCTTTTTGAGACCTCCCCCGGCTGCGATCGGCTATTCTCGTCTACTTTCGAGGCGAGCCAAGGCTCGTCTCAAACAAGCCTAGTGTGAGCTCACAGCCAATTCAAGACACCGAAGCAAGAAGGAGCTAACGCCCATCTTTGTTGGATTTCATGAAAACAAGTCATTCATCACCCTGGGCCTTAGACACAGTTCACATTCATTGAATCAATGCACATGTAATCACATTAGATTTGAAGAAAAGATTGGTTTATCCCTTTCTCAAGTCTGTTTTTTATTTTCTCTCACTTGAAATGAAAAAATAGTATTATTTTAAAACAAAACATTTGAACTATCCTGTAAAGTGAGTTGCATTTAACACAATACATTTTTTGATTTGTTTAAAGTCATAAAAAACGTATTCCCTGTTGTGTAGGCTATGCATGTTCGCAGTCAGTATGAGAAGTGCAGGATTGTGAATGAGAGAAATATAATAACCAGCTTCCTTTTGATAACAAAATGTGATTATCCAGCCAAATGTCCTGTAAATATTTCTCACATCAGATAACGTTAAGTGAAAAAATCCTGCAGACCAGAACACTTAATTCCAGTAATCCATAGAAAACTTTGTATATGAATCAAACAAAGACAGATTTTCTGTAGAGAAATATATCTC